TGTTTTCATTTCCCAGGAAGATATTATTTGGTTCAGACATTAGCTTGTGAAGAATCAGGAATAGGAGGGTATGATGCTGAAAATTTGAAGAATATATTCACGTCAGGATATCCAGAATATGCATATCCAAATATGTTTATAACTAATCATGATTTATTGAGATTTGGTAATTTAATTAGAAAGAAATATGGATATGGTAGAGATAATAATGATTATTGGGGTAGACATAGAGCTGCAATTGCATTCCTTGCTGCATACACTGGACCAATTACTATTTATTATGGAGATGAAGTTGGAGATCTTGTAGAATGTTATTATAACCCAGGAGATTGTGAAGGAGCTTATAATGATAATGCTGCTAGAAGTGATGGACATATTCAAGGATTTAATTCAAATGAACAATCCCTTCATGACTTCACTGCAAAAATAATGAAAATTAGAGCATCTAATCCTTCATTGTATCAAGGAACAATTCAAAATGAGAAAATTGATAAAAGATTGTATAAAGTTGATAAAATTTATGAAAATAATAAAGTCCAAGTAATGATTAATATTGGGACATCTTCTTATGATGTTGATTGTGAAAAAGGTACTGATTTAATTACTGGTAAATCTTATTCTGGTACTTGTCCTCTTACTGCGTTTGGTGTAATTTTCTTAAAATACAATTGATTCTTTTTTTAATGCTTTATTTTCCTTTTTTTTTGACTCATTCTTAGTTGTATTAAGAAGAGTAATATCTTTAAAAAGCTACAAAAAATATAAATTAAAAAAAACCATAAAAAATGTTTAAATGAACAAATTTATCAATATCTTCTCTTTAATAATGAATGTGTATGTTGTATATAATATATACTACAAGTAGTATATAGGAATTATATTTCAATTATATTTCAATAAAAATGATTAAAAACTGTTATATTAAAATTTCAAAATAAAGAATTTTTAGAAAATAAATAGTACATTAATAATACTTAAATAAAAAATCAATCTTAGAATTATTGAAGTAATATAAGAATATAAATTATTTTTAAAACACAATCCATAAAAGAAATGATTATTAACAATATGTAATGCATCTGGATAATAATAAACCAAATTATATTCATATAATAAGTATAAAGAAAATGAGTAATAGGAAAAAAAAAGAAGTAACTAAGTAAAAATAATAAAGAAAGGTTATTGAAAATAATTTATTATTAGAATATGTATTATCATTAAAACTATAATTAAAATGTATTAAGAATTATTGAATATTATTATTCAAATTATGAAAAAATTGTTGGTTTATTCAAAAAATTCTAATGTTATACCAAAAAAAAGTGCATTGTATTAGAGATTAATAAGAAAAAAAAAGAGTTAGAATATATTGAATTCAATTAAATAATCCTTTGTCAAAAGCCATAGATTTGAATTATAGAAATTCATTAAATATCTCTTTATTAGTAAAAAGTATTTAGCCAATAAAAAAAAATAATGAGTAATTTATTTTGCTATAGATAACTTCATGCGGTAAGAAAGAAACTAAATTTGTTTTATGATGAAATGTTGGACTTTGAAAGAAAAAAACCTACAAATAGAATTACATTTTTCAGTTATTTTCAAAAACAAAGAAAAAATAGAATGAAAAAACATTCCTCTCAATAAATAATCTTAAAAATCAGTTCAATGCAGCAACCTCAAGTTAATATTTCAATTGAAGAATATGTTTCATTTAGACTTGGAGAAAAAGAGTTATCTACAATAAGAAATGAAAATGAAAGATTAATAAAAGAAAATGAAAAAAAGAAGGAGGAGCTTAGTGTGTTAAAAAAGTTACTTGAGAATAAAAGAATTAAAGTACAAAATGCTTCGAGAGAATACGCAAAAATTAGAAGTAGTTATGAAATTAATAAAGAAGTATTAAAACAAATTAATAAAAAAATTGGAAAAAGTACAATAGAAACTGAACAAGTTCTTCCACCAGAACCAAAAGAAATCAAAATGGAAGAAAGTGATGAAGAAACAATTGATGAACATATTAATAAATTCTCTATGATTGAAAGTGAAAGAGATCCACTTGAAATAACTGAAGAAGTAATTGATGAAGATACAATAGATGATAAAGAAGAAGGTGATTCAATAAAAAAGATAAAGCTAAGATTTACTGTTCGTTATGACTTATTATTAACTATCTTTTGTGATAAATTAGAAAAAAGAGAAGATGTGAAAATACTTAAAGGTTATCCATCAATTAGAAGTAGTATTTTATTTACTGACTATTGTAAAGCTATTGGAGTTAAATTCCCTTCTTGTATTAGAGATGAAAACCAAAAAAAGTGTTTTGTTAGAATTAACGTTGGTAATTTCAATAAATGTATTACTAAATTAGAAACTGCACGTATGTCTGGTGGTTTTCAAAAAAACCTCCTTGTTATTAAAGATAGGTATCCTCATGTTCAATATGTTGCAGCAGGAAGAATTGACATATAGATTTTTTATTATTCAAGTTAATATTATTGTTATATATCGCAATAAAAAAATCATCACCATTTTTGTTTTTAATAAAAAAATAAAAAATAAAAAAAACTAAAAAAACAATAGAAAAATATGCAGTATCAAGAATCACCATTCTCACAATTCTTTTATTCTATTCCCATAGTTACACGAGTACTATTCTTTACTACATTGTCGTTTTCAATTGTTGGTGTTTTTTATCCAGACCTTTTTTATTTGTGCTATTTTGATCGAGAACAGATTGCTAGTGGTCAAGTTTGGAGATTATTTACTCCCTTCTTCTGTCAACAACTAGGATTTTCTTTTCTTATTCATATGTTCATGTTGTACAATTTTAGTAAAGAATTAGAAGAAGAATATTTTAATAATGACACAACCGATTATATTTTCTATTTATTATTTAATTGTTGTTTATTAAATATACTCTCTGTGTTTGTAGGACCATTACACTATTATTTCATTTCTCTCTTTGTTTACACTGCGTCACGAGCTAATCCTAACTCAATCGTATCTTTATCATTTGGTATTACTCTTAGAAGAATGTATTTACCATGGGCATTAGTGGTATTAAACTTTATTTTAGGCGCTCCAATACTACCACAAATTCTGATCATTTTAGTTGCTCATTTCTATTATTTCCTAAGACATGTTATTCCAGTACATTACCCAACACTTCCACGACTCGTTTAATTTAATTTACTTTATTAAAAGAAAATTCATATCATTTTTCAAAGGTGACAAAGTATTAAATTTATTATAAAATCTATTTGTTCACTCTTCCATAGCTTTAATGTGTTAATGTAGTATTAATTCTCCATAAAATTGTTAAAAAATGTAAAGTGTGATTTAGAAACTGTATTCCAAGATTCATATTCAAAACAACAATATTCTCCATTTTCTGAAACTTCTGACGTATAAATTGGGTCATTTAATTTTTTAAACCACTTTTGGTATCCTTTATGATACTTCCATTTTCTTTGTTTTAACATCTCAGCCGCCTGTAATTGTAACTCTGTTCCTTGTGCATAATAAAACAAAAACATAAGAAATTCATCTTCTATTTTATTTGATTTAAAGTCAAATGGAATAGGTTGTGTTGGGAACCATTTAGGTAACGTTAAATTACTAGGTTTTCTTTTAGGAGATTGTTGATGATGAAATTGTATCATACTATTATATGAAAATTCAATATCTTTGATAGTTTGTAGTGTTTTTTCATCAATCACTGGTGATGTACATTCTGTAGTTTGTTTCGTCGGTGTATTACTTGTCCGTTGTAGTGTTTGATTTTTATTTTCACCTTTACATGTTTGAGTTGTTGTTTGATGGGGAGAAGGTTGTTGCTTTTGAACAGGACTAAGACTTGTTTTGACTTGTTGTGTTGGTGATTTAATAATTTGTTGTGCACTTTTTGTTTGAACAGCCTTAGATGATTGAACTTCTTTTAATGGGAGTTGAGACTGTTTAGTTTTATGTTGTTGAGTAATATTATTTTCATCATGTTCTGGTTGTTCTTTTTGTATTTCATTATTTCTACGTTCTTCTTCTTCTAATTCTTCTTGCTGGATTTGCAATTTTAAGCTTTCTAAATCAAATCGTTTGTATAGTTCAATACTATCATCATTGGTAATCATTTTACTTTCAACAGTCATCTCAACTTCTTCTTGGAATTCATTTACCTATTAAATAAATATTAAATTGTTTATATTAAAATATTAATAATAATAATAATAAACAAACATCTTCATCATCTAAAAATCCATATTTTAATGCCTTATCAATAACATTTAAATTTTCAATATGGCTTTGAAGAATAGAAATTTGTTTGAGAATTTGATTTTTCTTTTGTTGAGATTGTTTTTTCTTTTTTTGTGGTTCTTTCTCTCTATTTAAATCTTCAATTTGGCTCTCTAAATTATTAATAATTTGTTCAATCCATGTTTGTTCTTCTTCTGTACTTTGTTCTTCAACAGATCCACTATCACTTACTCGTGCTAATCCCTCAATTGAGTAAGGTTTAATTTTACTAATTCTTTCTATTTCTTTAAATGCCTCCATTCTTTCTTCAATTTGTTTCTTAGCTTCTGTTAATTGATTTTTATTTTTAATTTCAGTTTGTAACCAACCTTTGATTTGTTCTCTGCACTTTTGTAATTTTTTTAATGACTTCTTAAGATCTGCTTCTATTTTTTCATGTTGATGCCCTCCTTCAGTTTCATCTAATTTTTCTCTAATCTCATCAAATTCTGCAAACCCTGCATTCATAACTTTGAGAGTTTTATCGATGTCACTTTGTACCTTTCTATTCGTTGACATAATTACTAAATTTTTTTAAGATTGGGTATTTTAATTCCTCCAAAACCTGTTTTCTTATTTTTTATTTTTTCCTTTTTCTTTTGAAAAATTCATTAACAACTTGTATTGTATTATTATAATTCATCACATTAAATTTATATGAATACCACAAAAAAAATTCAGATATAAAGTAAAAAAGGAATCAATTTTTACTTGAAAACTTTACCATCGAAATCTTTTCTTCCTCCAAAATCTCCTTCCCATGCAAGATATTCAGTAATAAGAGCTTTATCAGCAACAAGATCAAGTTTCTTCCAATCATAAAGTTCAACATCATCACAATCATTTAATTCCTTTGGCATTTCAGTTCCTTTGAAAACCCAAACTCCTTCAATTTGGAATGGTTTTTCATTACCGAAAATGAGAACTGAACCAAAAGCAATTTTATTAAATCTTTCAAGTCTTTGGAACATACCTCCAACAAGATTGCTAACCATAAATTGCATTGGTTGATTAAGTTCAAACTTATATTTGGAGAAATAGACACAATATTCCTTGGCATCAAAGTTATCAAAGAACCATGGAATAGAAACAGAAACTTCTTCATTTGAATAAGTTCTTTTCCATGAATCAAGATTGAAAACAATTGGAGCTGGTGCAGCTTCTCCTTCGGCAGCCATTATGAATGTTTTTTTAAGATTATTTCTCTGTGTTATATAGTCTAAGGGTTTTTTTGGGATTTGATATTTAATTTTAAAAACTAAAAAAAGTTAGAGCTAAATTTCTTTATTTTCTTTTTTTTTTTATGTTAAATAATAGGGTTTTTTTTTAAGTTCACTTGTATTTTTTTATTTAGCATTATAATCATAATGGTTTACACGTCATTTTCATTAACTTCTAATTATACTGCCTTTAGAATAAAATTGTATTCTTCTCTCGACTATTAATTCTTTATTTCATCATTCTCTTATCTCTCTTTGATGATTCATAAAAAGACTCAAAAACAATTATTTTCTTTTGTCCTTGACAAAAGAAGAGTTTAAGGACTTTTACTTTTTAAAGAAAAGAGTTATGACAATGGTGAAAAGGTGATTTAATAAAAATTAAAATTCAATAAGATATTCGTGGATGTTGTATTAAAAAAAAACTACAAAACAGTTATATTGTTATATAATCAAAACATGAGAGAGCAATTTTTTCATTTAATGTATAGTTTCAGTTTGTAGGTCTTCTTGTTGAATAATTGGTGTTTTGCTTTTACTTATGACATGACCAACTCACCAATTAGAAAAACCAAAAAAAAACATAATTTTTTGACTAAAAGAGAAAAAATCTGAAAATTTTAGTTATTGGTGATCAAATGTCACTTCCACATTCAGACGATCTCTATAAACATGTAGCACAACCACCTCCTGACTTTTCTAAAGTTCCACCATTGTTTAGAAGTACACCTTTAATAAGACATCATAACGCATCTAAACCTCGTTTGATAAAGGAAAGTACTATTACAAAACCACAAAATAACACAAAACATTCTTCATTAAAATTATCAAGTTCAAAGCCAATTCCTACCTTTACTAAACAACCAACATTTGATACAAGTGAATTAACAAAATTATTAGGAGAAATAATGGAAGAAAAATTACAACAATTAAAAAAGGATGAAATAGAAAGGACAGAGGTTATTGGAGCAAATCAAGTTCTTGTCAACCCAGTTCAAAACGAATTAAAAAAAGAATTAGAAAAAGTAGAATCAGAATTAAAATTAAATAATGAAAAGATAAAAAATGTTGAAATGGAGAAACAATCAATTTTATTTGAAAATGAATCATTAAAAAATCAACTCAATGTACTTAAAAGAACTGTTGAAACAACTAATGGGAATTGGGAAATGGAAAAACAAATGAATGCAAATGCTCAAAATAAAATACAAGAATTATTAGAAACAATCCAAAGTCTTAATAAACAAAATCAATTTTTACAATCAGAATTAGAAAAAACTGAAGATAAGTTAATTCATTCAGAAAAAGAAAGAAGAAAACTTCACAATGAGGTAATGGAATTAAAAGGAAATGTAAGAGTATTTTGTAGAGTTCGACCACCATTAAAAAATGAAGGAATTAGTGTTGGTGTAACTGGTGATAATGCTGTTATTGTTAATTCAATTAACTTTAGTGGAAAAAAAGAAAAAATAAAATTTGGATTTGATAGAGCATTTGATAGTGATTCAACACAACAAGATGTTTTTGAAGAAATAAGTCAATTAGTTCAATCAAGTCTTGATGGATATCAAACATGTATTTTTGCATATGGACAAACAGGAAGTGGGAAAACATACACAATGGAAGGAACAAATGATAAACCTGGAATGATTCCACTTACTGTTCATAAAATATTTACAGCAATTGAAGAATTAAAAACATTAGGATGGCAATTTAAAATTAGTGTTAAATATGTTGAAATTTATAATAACAACATTTTTGATTTATTAGTAAATGAAGAAGAATCAAAAAAACTCCAAATTAAATATAATGGACCATTAGTAATACTACCAGAAGCAAATGTTATTGAAGTTTCTGAAGCAGAAGAAGTTGACCATCTTATTAATATAGCAACACGTAATAGAGCAGTTGCAGCAACTAAATGTAATGCACAATCTTCAAGATCACATTCAATATTTATGATGGATTTATGTGGAAGAAATATTGGATCAAATGAACAACGATTTGGAGGATTAACACTAGTAGATTTGGCTGGTAGTGAACGATTAGATGAAAGTGGAGCAAAAGGAGAACGATTAGAAGAAACAAAAAATATTAATAAAAGTTTAAGTGCACTAGGGGATGTTATTGTTGCTATTGCAAATAAAGATAGTCATATTCCATATAGAAATAGTAAATTAACAGAACTTCTTCAAAATTGTCTTGGAAGTGATTCAAAAACATTAATGTTTGTTAATATTTCATCTGATCAACAAGACACATTAGAAACAATATCTTCATTAAGGTTTGCAACTAAAGTAAATACCTGTGTAATTGGAACAGCTAAACGACATGTTCAATAATAAAAATATTTACTACATTAAATAATAATAAAGAATGATTGTTGTTAAAAAGAATTTAATTGATTTTTATTACAATAAAAGTTAAGTTGTCACTACTCTCATTTACATATGCTAGTTTTAATGTGTCAAAAGCTATATTAAACATTCCTCCACTCTTACTAATAATATCTTCTAATTCTTTCTCAGTTACACCATCAGTAATTCCATCACTCATTAAAAATAATAATTCAATACCTTTTTTTTCTAGTTTAATAAAGTCAGGTTCAGTTGTTAATGGTGGATGAAGAGAAGGATCTCCAATACTTCGGGTTACCATAATTTGTCCATTAACTCTTTTAACTCCAAACATACCAAATACAACTCCTCCATTCATTTCAATACGTTCTACTTCAGCACTATTTGTTGCTTTATGTTCTTTAGTAATTTTTTTAATTTTATTGTTTTTATATATATATGCAGGAGAATCTCCACAATAAGCAATTCGTATAGTGTCTTTATCAATAAATGCAACTGTTGAAGTTGTTCCAGATTTACTTGTTTCACATGATTTGTCATGTAATTGTTTATGAGTTTTAATAAGTTTTGCTTCAAAAGTCCCTTCATTTTCTTTAAAAGTTTTAATATATTGTTCAGTACATAAATAAGCTGCATCCTTTCCATTATGTCCATCAAATACTCCAATAATATCAGTTCCTTCTATACTTGAACAATCTACAACAACAGTATCTTCCATTTTTCCTCTTCTTCCAATTGATTGGCAAATTGCTATTTCATATGATTTAGATGGTTCTATATGTTGGAGGATATATTCTTGAAATTTTAATCCAGGGTCTCCCATTTGATTAATTTCTAATCCATCTACTTTGATAACATCCTCACCTGGTTTTAATAAATAACAAAATGTCAATGGTGGTAATTCTAATTGATTATGTTGATCTTCAAAAGATTTTGACAGACTCATGCTCATATATTGTTCCATAACTGATGTGTCAAATATTATTTTTTCTTTATTTTGAAATGAATAATCATCGTAATCAATATAATAAGGTGTTTTTTCGTTGTTCATCTTAGTTATATTAAATTTTTTAGTTTTTAAAAATAAAAATTTTTACAAAAAAGAATCTATTATAGAAAAGCCATAATGCCGTAAAATGATACTGTTTGCTGCCTTTTCAATAGCAAAAAGAATAGTAAGTATCTCTACAAAAAATGAAGAAGTCCATGAATATACACTATGAAATATAATTAAAAACAAAAGACCGTTTATAAAATCAGATGGTATCATCCTTCCTCCTTTTTTTGGAAGTGGAACACCAAATATAAGTTTAAGTATTGTTAAATATGCACCTGTTCCATAGCTTGCAAAAAGAGCATTCAAAAAACAAATAATTGTACATTGTCCATCTCTTATTCTTAGTATATATTTTGATACTAAACATGTAGCTATTTCTAATGAAGATATAATACTAAATATATCGGTAATGATAGGTGTATTTTGAAGCCATTTTGTAAATGATTCTATTTGTAATACTGAAGCTATTAAAACTTGTATTATAATGGTTTTCCAATAAATAGTCAATATACCTTTGAATATTAAATCATCCATTGTATTTATTAAACAACAAAATAGTGTAGAAATTAATATTCTTTGTAATGCAGAGTCAAATCTTTTTAAATAATAATGAAGGTTTAATTGTATGGATAACGATAATGCTATTTGACAAAAAGAAAATGAAACAACTTGACTACAATATAAACATATTTTGTCTTTGTTTTCTGTCATAAACAATAAAAATGAAAATAAAAGTTGATGAAATATCTTTGAAAAAAGTTATTTCAGGACATAAGCATTCAAAACTCAATAAAAACAAATTAAAAATAGGAAAAAATGTTGAAATGAATAAATAAAATAACACAACGACATTTTACTTTTTTTTTGATTATTATCCTTTTGTTTTTCTTTCCGTCATTAATGTTGTTGATAATCTATATCTATTGTTTCATAAATTTCAAACGTCAAGAATTTCCTTTTTTGAAAGAAATCCATTAAATGAAAATATAATAAGAACAAATTCTTTTGTACTTCTTTCATAACTCATGGTACATTGTTGTGCCATTCTTCAGTTGCTAATATGGTCCAAACTCACTTTAATCTATTCATTTTATCATTGATACATAAGATAGAAAAACAACATAACAAATATACTTATTTTCTAAGAAAAAATAAACAAAATTTATTCGTATGCCTTTTAAAGTTTTTGTTCCTTCTTAATCAGAAAAGAAATTAAATTCATTGAATATTCAAATACAATAACTCTGTAACAATTATTTTATGAATAAAAAACAATTTTAAATAGAATATTTCAAATGACTTGAAATATTAATTCGATTTAATAACAAAATATATAATACCTTATTTGTTTGGATAAGACTTAAATCCTATTTAGACATTGTCTATTTGGAAGGTAAAAATTTAAAAAATAGAAGAAAAGCGGAATAAACAAAACAAAAATGAATTATAATTAAAACCATTTCTCTTTCGATAATTTGGATTTAGTACTAATTCTAGAGTAACATTATAAACGTGCGTTGGCTATAGTATCAGACACTCCAAGAACTAAACTAAGTGCAACATAAACAATACCAATAGCAAACCATATAATACCTAATACAACAACAATTAAAGAAATAATTTTGATTTTACCACCATAAACAAAAGAAACAATACCTGGGATGAAATAAATCATTATAACTCCACAAACTGCTCCATTAAAAGCAATTTGAATATCATCCATCCAAAATAATGCTGAAAGCATTCCAGCAAAGGAAGTAAATATTAAACAAATTACAGCTCTTCTAATTAATGATGGTTGCCATTCACTGAAAAATTGTTCATCTATAAGGTCATGAATAAAAGTAAACAATGATGGGACTGCTAAAAAGAAAGTTGAAATAAATAGACATGCAACAAAAACATCAATAGTGAAGAGAATGTTATTTGTATCATAAAAATCTGATGGATAAAATAATAATGGAATAGCATGTGTTTCTGAAAACAATGTGTTATAAACAAAATTACCATATAAAATTGCATAAACTCCAATTGTTAATAAAGCAGCTAGTAAAGCACTAAATTTAACATTTGTTGATGCATTAATTGAAGGAGAAACTAATGGGAGATTATTATGAGTAGCGAAAATACAAATAAAATAAGGGAAAATAGAAAATCCATCACCAAATGTATAATTTGGTACTTTTAAATTTTCTTTAATACTTTCATAATTTGGGTTTAATTTAAAATGAATAAAATGTGCAATAGAAGATATTAATAATAAAATATATGCAATAACAGATAATACTCGAGAATGAACTGAGAGTTTAGATATTAATGGAGAAAATGAGAGAATAGAAAGAAGAAATACTATGAAATGAATACTTATTTTAAGAATTTCATTTGATGTCATAAGAAGTCCATGAGCTTCTCCACGAGCATGGTTTAATAAAAATTCAAGTAATGCAGAAATTAACGTTACATATATTGACACTTGAACTAAATTATAAATTAGTTGTACTACCTTAGTAAATGTACGTAATGAATTACCTCCAAATCTCCATGCAATTTCATAAATACTATCAAATTGTGCTTTTAAATTAAGTTTATAAGTTAACCATACTGTGAGAAAACTTATTAATAAAGCAATAAAAATAAGAAAACACCCATAATACGTTGTTGCATATTTTAATGCTAATGGTGTAATAATTAATTCTGGACCAACTAGCATTAAAATATTCTTATAATACAATGAAATCCAAATTTTTAAATCACTAATACTCATAGAATTAGAATAACAAATATTTAGTTCTGTTTTTAATTATATAATAGTTCTATTAAAACTTGAATAAAAAAAAAAGAAAAGAAATATTAACTTAATGGCACAACAATTTATTGATATTGGTGCAAATTTGACTGATGACAATTATTTTGGTAATTATCATGGAAAACACTACCATGAAGAGGATATCGATGTTGTACTTCAACGTGCTGAAAGAAATGGATTAAGTCATATTATTATTACATCAGGTTGTCTTAACGATTTTAAGAAAGCTATTGAAATCATTAATAAGTACCAAAATTTAACTAACATTAAATTGGTTACTACAATTGGTGTTCATCCAACTCGTACAAATGAGTTAAAACAAGAAGGATATTTAGATGAACTACTTTTATTATGTGAAAAAAATATTGATAAAGTTGTGGCTATAGGAGAAATTGGATTAGATTATGAAAGACTTCAATTTTCTGATAAAGAAACTCAACTTAGTGGATATCGTACATTAAGCATTCTTCATCAAAAATATCCTTATTTGCCTTTCTTCTTTCATTGTAGAAAATCTTGGTCAGATTTATGTCAATTAAATAAAGAATTAGGATATAATGGCTGTAAAGGAGTTGTTCATTGTTTTGATGGAACAGAAGAAGAAATGAATCAAATACTAAATGAGGGATGGGATATTGGTGTTACAGGAAATTCCTTACAATCAATTGAGTTATTAAATGTTATGAAACAAATACCAATTGAACGTCTTCATATTGAAACTGATTGTCCTTATTGTGGAATTAAAAAAACATCTGCAGGATTTAAGTATTTGAAAGAGAAAGATTTTGGAGTCAAAGTAGAGAAATATCAAAGAAATAAATATGTTCAAAGAAGAAATGAACCATCTAACATTATTGATATTGCAATAATCATGTCAAGTATCAAACATATTTCTTTATTTGAATTTGTTAACAAAGTTTATTCAAATTCAATGAACATGTATTTCCCAACTATGAATTGATTCTTTTTTTAAAAAAGTCTTGGTAGTAAGAAAATAAAACTGACAAAAATATATCTTAATAATTTTATTATTTAATGGAAGAACAATTACCTGAGTTTTCTGTTATTCAATTTCCTGGATTTGTTAAAAATCCAAATGCTCCATTTGAAGAAAAAGTAAAACCACTGCTTGATTGTTTTGGAGGAGAAACAGTTATAAAAAATTATTTTCAAGGAACAACACAAAAACTAACGTTTTCATTTAGGCCAAATGATAAATGTGCATCAACACTCCCTGTTCATTCTGAAAAATGTAAAAACAAGTTATTAATTAGAATTTGTGATAAAAAAATTAATGTTATTGGTATTGTTACTAAACAACTTAGTGTAGACTCTTTAGCCCCCTTTCAAGTACTTGATCGGTGTTCATTAAATATGCTTATTCCAGCAGAACAATCTATTCCAAGTCCACTTGAAATTAATACTGTAAGAATGACAAAAATTGAACAACCCAATAGTGTTGATTTTAGGACAAGTAAAGAAAAAGAACGAATTATTATTGAAACACACCCATATTCATTACCTTTTAGAAAGTCAAAAGTTAAAGGTAAAAAGAAACAAAATCAGACAACCCCAAATCAAATTAATGAAGAATTGAATGAATAATTGTTATGAATAATTAAATTTATTTATTAAAATTAATATATCAAAAAAAAACTATTAAAATTTCAATATAATATGAATGAAGAAGGAGGTGGAAGAATTTCTTTATTTGAAGAATTTTATTTTCAGATTCTACATTAAAAATAACATGACTTTCTCTCCTTGGAATTTATCATCTTAAAAAACCTCATGTCAAATTGTTTCCTTTGTCCTTGCTTTTCTTTCTTCTAGTATTGTTTTAACTAGATCTATAAATTTCATTTCTATGAAACACACTTTAAATATTGATTCAATTCAACAAGTCGCTCTATATTTTGAAACCATAGATGATTATAAAAATATTATTCTTTCTTCAAAGAAGTTTCAACATTTACTTGAATATTTTAAATCAAATCCAATACCATTAAATGATGAAACAATAAAATTCTTTCCTAACATAAACACTTATAACTTATTTTCTTTACAAGACACTTTCTATGAGTCTTTATCTTCTTTGAAGATTTGTTTTTACTGTAGAATTTCATATCAAAGGAGTTTGAAAGAAATAAAAAAAGGAAATACATGTAAATTTATTTATTATTCAAAAGAAGATAAAAAGAAATTTGGAGATATTCTACCATCTCAAGTTAAGAAAATTGGTAAAGAGTGTTATTGTAATAGTCCTTCTTTATCAATTTTCGAAGTTCCTTATTCGATTGTTGAAATTGGAGATAAATCATTTATGAATTGTACTTCATTAACTTCAATTGTTCTTTCTTCTTCAATAACAAGACTCTGTAATTATACTTTTCATAAGTGCATATCCCTTAAAAAAATAAAACTCCCTCAATCCTTAAAACATATTGGATATAATTGTTTCTCCGGATGTTCCTCTTTAAATTCAATTCAATTACCAGAAATGTTACTTTCAATTGGTGATTATTGTTTTGATTTTTGCGTTAATTTGACTTCATTAGCTATTCCTTCTTCAATAACTTATTTTGGGATTCAATGCTTTTGTAATTGTTCTTCTCTTAAATCATTATCAATACCTTCAAATTTAACTTCATTCAATAGACAACAATTTTATGGTTGTTCTTCTTTAGAAGAAATTAATGTCCCTGCTCCTTATTGGATTGTTGGAAAACATCTTTTTTTCAATAAAATGAAACTTGTAGGTTGTGAATTGCCTTCTACTATTAATTCAATCAATAAAATCCCAGTTGCATTTGATATGAATCAGACTTCATTTGAAGTACCAACTGAGGTCAAATCCTTTGGAAATAAATGTTTTCAAGATGAACATTCTCTGAGGTCAATAAGTATTAAAAAGTTTATTGACCGTTTAGACAATTATTGTTTTGAAGGATGTTTATTAGTCACATCAATTTCTCTCCCATCTACAATTAAGGTGATTGAAAATGGTTGTTTTTGTGGATGTATTTCATTAAAAGAGATTAACATTCCTTCTTCATTAACTCGATTAGGAGATTATTGTTTCTACCGTTGTTCTTCTTTAAGTGCTGTAAGTCTTCCTTCTTCATTAAAAGTAATTCCATATCAATGTTTTAGTGGATGTTCTTCTTTAACATCAATTGATTTACCTCAAGGAGTCTTGAAGTTATCTGACCAATCATTTAAAGACTGTGCAACACTTCAATCAATTAATATTCCATCTACAATAACAAAAATAGAAGTTGGTTGTTTTAATAATTGTTTACGACTTTCAGAAGTATCTTTCTATTCTCCAATTCAAAAAATTCCTGATTTTTGTTTTTCTAATTGTATTTCTTTACAAACAATTACTCTTCCTTTGTCTGTTATTTCTATTGGAAATAGAAGTTTTTGTAACTGTGTTAAGTTACAATCGATTCAAATCCCCTCCTTAACTACCTCTCTTGGAAATGACTGTTTTACAAATTGCTCTTCTCTTGTATCTCTTGGGTCATTGCCAAAGAACGCTATCTTAGGAGATGACTGTTTCTTTGGTTGTGAAAAGTTATTTTATTAGTTTTAACAACTCATTTTTGTTTTATTCGAGTTATTTTTTATATTGAAGAATAAAATTGGGTTTTATATTTCATATTGTTAAATATTGAAAAAGAACTGTAACAGCTATCCCATTTCTTCAAGTTCAATTAGTAAAGCTTATTCAAAACCATTCTTTTAATTCAAACATTGAATGGTTATATTCTTGTTTAAAATAATGTAAAAATTCCTTCAACTCTTATTTTTTTTTGATATTTTTTTGTCTTAAACTATTTTCTTGGTTGTTAATATTTACTTTATTTCCTATTTCAATCACAAGATATTTATAATGATTGTCATTAGTTACTCTTGGTAATTCAGCTAATTCACCATTTATTTGAATATTAATATTATTCATTATCCCACTCTTTTCTACATTAATTTTTAATCCTATTCCATTAAATATTTCTTTTGTTAATTTGTGGGCTTTTTCCATTTCATCGAGGCTATTAGTCATTATCTTTAAATCGTCCATATACAATATGTGATTTAACTTGACTTGTTTTTCTTCTCCATTCATTTTAATATTTAATTTGTTAATTTGTTTATCTAATTGTTTAGATAATATGTCAATAGATAATACAAATAAGAGTGGAGATAGGCTGTCACCTTGTATTATTCCTCTTTCTACATTAATCATACCTACACTTTCTTGATTATAATATAAATTAAGTTGTGTATTATTTAATATATATAATATATTATTAATTACTACAAGTGGGATATTAAAATAAATTAAACAATGTTTAATCAATTGATGATTAATGCTATCATATGCTTTGGAGACGTCATAGTATGTTTCTACCACTTCCATTTATTATTTATTAATAATTGAATGATTATAGTGTTATATAATAATCCTTCTTTTGATGCATATGTATATTTCTTACATCCAATTTGATTTAATGAAAGTTGTTTTTCAATTGGATTTAACATCAATTGGCTTTCTATTTTCATCTTTAATATTGATGTATACACTTTTAACAGACAATTTAAACAAATTATTGGTCTGTAATTCTGTGGGTCTAATTTATTTCATTTCTTATATATTAATATTGTCCTTCCTTGAATAAAATGGAGAGGTATTTCATTAGGATTGTTTAACCATTCATTAAATAATTTTAATAAATATTTCTTTGGTTGTTCTAAATATTTAATCCAAAATCCTTGTATTTTATCATTTTCAATTTAATTTCAAATTTATCAACGAATTTAGTATCACAGTCTAGTTCATTGGGAGTGATTATTGACATTCTATTATTAATTCTATTTTCATTTAATATTTCATATAAATTAATATTCAGGAAATCTATATTAGTGTTAGTTTCATAGATTCCTTTCCAGAAATTAATAGTGGAGATATTATCTGGATATTCATCTTCTTTAGATTTATTTAGATGTTGCATTTTTCCATATTTCATCATTTTATATTTGCATCTTATTCTTTTTCAATTTATTCTTTCTTGTTTCTATTTCTATTCTTTTCATCTTTCGGAGGTATTTATAATAGTTTATTTGTTCAATTGTTTTTATTTTAATATGATATATATCATATTTCTTAATATGTCATATTCTTTTTAATTTCATATATTGTTTATTATTAAGTAAATCTCTTAATCTACATATTTTTGATTGTAATATCCTTTCTATACTTCTCTTTCCATTTCTTTCTTGTTTATTTTTATTAATTATGTTAATAGTGGAAGCTACAGATTTAATATAATGATAATATTCATCTAATGTATTGATTATTATTTCATTTTTATTAATAATATTAATTATTTGATGTACTTTCTTATTATTATATTAATAGTTAATAAATTGTACTTCTTCTTGTTCTTTCATTTCTTCTTCTTTAATTATTTTCATTATTTCCTCTTCTTCTATTTCTTCTTTCTTGTTCATTCTAGTTATTATTTCTTTTAATTCATTATCTTTCAATTGATGTTTTATTATTTCTTCCTCCATTATTCTATTGATTTCTCTTTTATTTTCATTCTTTATTTTAAATGTCTTCTTTAATATTTCTTTATATTCATTAATATCATTTATTTTAATTCCAAATTCATGTATTAACCTTTCTATTATTTCTTCTTTAAGTTGACATCTTAATTTTCTTTCAAATAATTTCAAAACAAAACATTTATAGAATGTTAAAATTTCTTCTTCTCTATCTGTTTGCTTCCATTGTTTTTTTTTTGATTATCTGATTCTAATGTGGTGATCTTCTTATGCTGAATATCCATTTCTTCAATGGATTTCTGCGTTAACTTTCTTTTTTTTTTTGGAAGATCATCTTCACATGATGATATTTCATCAGCTACTACTACATTGGGGTGAGATCATTCACAATTTGTGTTTCAGATGAGTCTGTTATATTGTAAGTTACCTCATCTTTCTTCTTTTCTTCTTGTGTATTTTTATTTTCTAATTTAGATAATTTATCTTTCAGGAAGAGCAATTGTTGTGTTAAATTGTTTACTTCAAACATTTTTCTTTCAGATTCAGCATGGAATTTGAATATTTTTTTATCGCACTCATTGTTTTGTGTTTATCTCCTTCTCATGCTTCTTCTTTAATGCCATAATATCCTTAGTTAGTTTTTTTATGGTTTGGTCTTTTATTTGTAATTCCTTTTTCATTTATTCTTTCTCTTCATTAATATTCTTTTCTTTTTATTAAACTCTTTATCATTGTCTTCTTCATTTTCAATACTCATTACATAGTTATTATATATTTTATTGTCTTTAATCTCAATTACTTTGTATTGATTATTGTCTTCTTCCATCGTCATACTAATAGTTTCTTCTTCCTTTCTGATTGTTTTGGTTTTTTCTCGTGCAAGAAAATACAATCTTCTCCATATTGTTGATGATGTATATTCTTTAATCTTGGTATTTTTAATTTCTTCTACTTCTTGTGGTGTAAGTATTTTAATTTCTTCTTCAAAGAGTCTTTTCCAATATTCTTGATTTTGTATTTCAATCATTTCTTTTCTTTGATTTCTGTTTTGTTTCTTATTTTGATATTGTTTATATCTTCTTTGAGTGTTATTATGGTATTTATTTCTATTATGATAGTATTGTTTATTTCTATTGAAGTTGTTATTATTATCAAAGTGTTTATGACGATGATTATGAATGAAGTGATGAGTGAAATGATTTATATCATCAATGTTGTGATAGTTATGGTTATAATTATTATTGTAATTATTATTGTAATTATTCATGCATCTCTGTCCATACAGATAATATCTATTTTCACTCATTCTTCTATCATTTATATTTCTTTGATGATGTGAAAGTCTTATTTTTTGATTATTTGTTTTTCTGTATTTTTTGTGGTGTCTCCTGTATTGCATCTTTTTTGTTTGATGTTGTTGTAATAACATAACAAATATATAAAGAAAATAAATAAAGATAATAGTTGAATGAATATATAAAATATTTGTATTTATATTAATAAATTAATTATAGTTTCAAAAAGTATACTTTAGAACTACTAGAAGAAGACAAAATGATTGGATTTGACTCTCATGATCCAGGAACAACCGAAGCAAATTCCGTTAACATTTAATTAATTGATTTGTATTAATAAGTTAATCTTATTTTAATTAAACTATTAAATTATTTGTTAAATTCTTTATTACTAATTTGTTAAACTTTCTTATAACACTAATGAACATTCAATAACTGTTATGTTAATTTAATGAATCATAAAAGAATTTATAAAAGAATTAATAAAATAAAATGTAATGATAATATTCAATAATTAATATAATTTACTTGAATATTATATAAATTTATTTGTTAATAACATTGTAGTTGTAATAAATTTTATTTATTTAAATGTATTAATAAAAATTTTTATTAATCAAAAAAATATTAAGACAATATTGAACTTATTA